GAATAATTACATTTTATTATCACATTTACTCTGACATCGAAAAGTTAAATCTAAACTCGTTTCCTGTTGCCTTGAACTTGAAGGTGTCTGTAGGTTTTGGCAGTACCTCAGGATTTTCTTTTACATCAACAACTGCTACAGAAGTACTAAGCTTGGCACCACTTTCCTTGGCATCAATTTCCTCCTGCTGAGACTCCGAAATTCTTGTTTCTTTTGCTTCTTCATTTGAATTATCTTCTGTTGTATTAACTACTGTTTGCTGATCACATTTTTTGGTTGATTTCTTCACACATTTTGACTGCTTTGGGACAGTAATATTTGCATTCATTTTGGGTTTTTCTGCAAAAAAGGAAAATATGAAAAGAAAAAAATTAATTGTTCAACTGTATAAGAAACTGGAAATTTGCATAGAGCACTGGAAAAAAGTCTTCATTATTTTATATAAAACAGAGGAAAGTTTTAAGCAACAACTAGAATTATCAGAAAAAAAATCATGAAGATGCATCATGGGACAATGTAGAAGAAAATCGAAATAGAAGAGGAACAAAAGAAGAAAAAAAGAGAAAAGGAATGCAGATATAAGAACAAGTGAGCATAAGAAAAAAAGAAAAACAAAGCAAAAAGAAAGAAAGAAAGAAAAAAAAGAAAGAAAAAAAGAAAGAAAGAAAGAAAGAAAAAAAAAAAGATTAAAATTAGTGCAATACTAACCTATCTTAAATTTCTTTTCCTCATCCGACATCTTCTTCCTGTAGTCCCCAAACATTGACCTCATGAGCTGTCTTTTCTTCACCGTGGGAGTCTTGTTGTTCGATAAAGTCAAGTGACTTTTCATCAATTCCTCGGCTGAAAAGGATCATGATTGTTAATTATAATTGACAAAGATATCTGAGGGGAGTATAGTGCCAATGTGCAAGTTTATGATGATTTTTTGTAAGAATATCATCCTGTAACACATTTCACACACTATATCAAATTCTTATATTCCCTTAAATGATAACAGAGGAATTAAAAATATGCCTAACTAGACTATGCTGTTGCAAATTTCAGTCCCTTTTAGTCCCTTTGATACGGATGATGTGACCATCATGTCATGAAAAAATTTGGCTTGAGGGCTGGGTGCCGTCATGGGAAAATCTGGCTGTGGGCTAAGGTGACTTTCTCTTGTTAGCATTTCAGCTGAAGCCCAGAGTGACAGAAAAGACTTACGATGAGTGTACAAATCTCTTGGAGGATGAATATACTCATTTGGCATTTTGAAAGGGCCTTTTGCATTATTTCCATTGATAAACAAATGTGGAATGTAGTGTCCGTGAGCTATGGTTGGAAGAGTGTTGGCTCCAGGGAGGATGCCATTTCCATGTTCTGCATCCTATTCCTGGCTGCCATCACTAGCGGTGAAGGAACATGACCATCATATAGTGAAACTATCTGGCTTGAGGAGTAGGTGATGAGAACATGCTATCATGGGAAATTCTGGCTGTGGGTCAGGGTGTCATGATATTGCTGTTGTGTGGGTGGAATGAAAATAATGACTCATCACGAGTGCACAAAGCTCTTAGACAGTGATTGGACTCTTTTGGCATTTAGGAAAGGACTTTTGCATTATTTAATTGATAAATAAGTATGGAATGAGGCTCAGGCTCCAGGGAGGAGGCTACATAAGTACTTCAGGATCCTTTTCCTGTCCGTCACGACTGGCAGCAAAGGTTGTACTACAGAAAATTGAAAATTATGAACAATTATTTAAAATGATATGGAGTCTGTGCAAGGAAAACAGTCTTACCATCTGGATAAAGGAAATCAACTGAGAAATAAGGTCATTGGAAAATGGCAATAAAGCTAAAAACGCTTATTCATAAACACAGAAAATAACCCTGAAAGGGAAGGCACACAGTCTTGCCACTCTACACGAGTGTTCATGTGCACCCAGTCTACACCTGTAAAAATAGCCACTCACATAAGCCTAATGCCCATATTTTGGGTCATGTGACTGCCATGAAGCAACTGAATCCAATGAGCTAATAGGTCTCTATAACATCTGGGAAGTCAGTGAAGTGGCTCTTCTTCAACTGTTCCTTTAGAGAGGCTTTCTTCAAAATGGCCAAAAATACTGATATTGGAATTGGACTATTTACTTGCTTCAAAGGGGTGATTTCTTTTTCTTTCTTAAATTGGAATCTGCACTGTATACAAACAATAGATTACAAATTACTGAATATATGCAGCACTTATAAAGAAATCCATGTCTTCAGGCCATACAGAGTTTTTTATTTATTAATTTATTTACTTTTCCCCTTTTTATTAACCTGCTTCATTTTAATTCTGTATTCTGGGAAACCTTTACCTTATAGATATATCTCAAATTATTATTGTGAAAACTGTAATATATGCTTCATGAGAAGACACTGAGTCTAGCTCAACAAATCTAATAGTTCAGGCAAAATACCGAGTTTTTTCAAGAGTACTTCTATACCATAGAAATACTTGAGGTAATGAAATGCAATGGAAAATGACCTGAGATGCATAAAGCTTGGGTTGGAACATTTACAGTACACACACATAAAACGTGCATATTTATATATATACATGTGTCTGTATATAATTCCTAACTGTTATTTTTACTAATATTTACTGATATGCTTCTGTCTGCTTTTTTTTTAATAAATAAGAAATAAAAGACTGTTCACTGCTTTAAAACTTTCTCCGTACTTAGCTCTTCGCTTGGCCTTTTACTTATCTCTTTGCTTTGATTTGATTTTTACCCTTTCCTCTATGATGTACTTGAGCTTTTACTTTTAATATTTGTAATCTTACAAATTTATCCATTATCTTTTATCCTGTTTACATTTTGTCTATTCCCTTATACCTTTTGTTCTACTCTCTTCTTTTACGTCTTAGCCTAGCAATTAGTTTTCATACTTTTTTTCAGGCCATTCTAGTGTCTATAACCAATGAGTTTTCTTGGCTCTTCTGGCATCTTTAACCCAATGGTGGTGGATGGCCTGATAGGCATGCCAAGTCCATTGTAATTAAAGCTTTAATTGTGTTTACACAGTCAACTCAGCAAGTACTTAGTCAGCAAGAAGTCAATTATTAGTCCTACCTATTTCACTTAACTATTTAATTATATAAACTTCACTATTTCAATTAACCCCTCCTCGATTTTCAGAATGAATCTCTTTTAGCTTTTATTGTTATTACCATTTTAATAACTTGACAATAATCCAAATATCATCACACACACACACATACACGCACTCAAGCACGCACGCAAGCACTCACGCACACAAGCACACACGCAGCACACACGCACGCACGCAAGCACACACGCACACAAGCACACACGCACACAAGCACACACACAAGCACGCACACACACAAAGAAAAGAAAAGAAAAGAAAAGAAAGAAAAAAGAAAAAGAAAAGAAAGAAAAGAAGAAGAAGAAGAAAAAAAACATCATTTAGTCCTCAAGACAATGGTTCATATTAGTACCATTCATACTACATACCATTACACGAAAGTAATGCATAATTCTAAACCAAAAGAAATAGTAAAACAAGAAGGAAAGAAGACAAAAAAGATGATAATCTCTTTTTCTTTTAATTAGGTAAAGATGAAATGAAGCGACTGGTAATGACTGGCTGATATCAACGTGTCTAAATAACATTATTATATTTCAAGTAATCATCTTCACCATTCTGTCACCCTGTTATCAGTCATCCCTATCTACTCAAGTGCATCTTTACCACAAATAGAAGATGAAGAAGAAGAACTAATAATCCCAAAAAAAATAAAAATCAAATAATCATACATCAATAGAATATAATTCAATAATCACAATAATATTGACTCTTTTTTGTATCAATTTGGGAAAATAACTTTTGTAATTTCTTTGATGCCTTGCTGCTGTATATTAGTAAAAGCAAAACTATCCAGATAAGAAATTACTAGTGTACAAGATATATCCAATATATATAAAAATATATATATTTTTTAAGGAAAATACATGAAACCAAAATGGAACAAGGTCAAGAAGGTTGAATAAAATCGGTATACTCAAGCCTGTTGCACATTATGTGATCTTCCATCTTACTTTGTTTGGAATTTCCCTGCTTCTTCTCCATGCTGAGTTCTATCTGCTGTAAACACCATCTTAACTCGAGTGCAAACTTCTCTAGGGCAGCCGCTTCATCTGTATCTTCTTGAGGACTTGGTTTAGCCACAACCTTGGGAGGAGGACCTCTCTTAGCCTGAAATGAAGATCTATAGGTCAGTGTTTGAATTTTGGTAAATATATGACACTAGCAAAGTAAAACAGTTCAAAAACAATCACAGAAACCTGCTAGTTCCTAAATTGCTGTATTTTAATTTTCTTGAGGAAGATTCATGCTGGACAATTTGTAAATAATATAACAAAAGGAAGAGCAGATTCTCTTTCCTGCTTCATCAAGGCATGTAACACAAGGGATATAAGGGTATATTATATATAATAGTAGATAATGTAATTACTACCATCTTAACCCACTTATGACAGGTGTCCCACATGTGAGACACTCAGAAAAGTAAACATTACCGGGTGTCCCGCCAGTGGGATGCTGGATTGGAGCTCGCTCTCTGATTTTGAACCCTCTTAGAAAATATTATTTTCTGCTTGAAAATGTACCGTCGCTAGTGGGTTAATATATCAGACTGAGGCTTGGGACGACCTATAAGGAGATGGTCATAGGTACGTTGGAGGGCACTTTTGTGCTGCCCAATTAATTTTCTAAAATTCTATGCCCTGTTTCTCCTAGTTAACTCTATCGCTTTTATACTACTTGGCAAAGTGAAAGAGCATTTGTCATAGTTATATGTTTTCCTATTCTTCCTTTTGTTGATTTTGTAGATATTGAGTGAAGCTGACCACATAAAAAGCATTCCTATATATACTAAACAAAGACATTCATTTTAAATATAGATGATTAATAAAGCTAGCTGTTATTCTGATTTCCAGTCTAAAAAGCTACACAGTTTGGGATGCATTCAATAAAAGAATTATTCTCAGTTCATTAAATGTTTAGTCTTTAATTATAAGTTCTGCACCAGGAATGTAAAGATGTTGAAACTCTGGGGGTTTAGTCCAAGCCTGTAGATTTTCGCCTTTAAATGTACCATTTTCAAGTTATCTTGGTAAAATTTAAGATTAGGTCCATATCCATAATGGTCAAGTCCATAAACTGGCTTTTAAAATATGTGCTTCCAGGCTTTTTCTTTTAAGACTGACATCCTGGGAAGTTTCATAAAACCTTTAAGGCTGAAGCTCATGATACCCATACTGAATGATAAAACTAACTACAGATCATATGGACCATAAATCTTAACCAAAGAGAAAAAGACAAATTTGCTGAATACTTTACTTGATTTTTCATCTATTATTTTATTTCTTCCTTGTAAATAAGCTTCTCATCCCTTAGTTTTACTTTACTATTCAAACAGCTTATAAAATGGAGTGAAAAATTATCCAATCTCAACTAAAAGGCCAATATTCTGTGGTTCCCTTAATTCAAACAACCAGAGTAACTTTGATATCAAAATCCAGTTTCTTAATAACAAAAAAAGCTGCAAAAAATAAAGGCCCTCTACATTGTCAGAAAACGATTAAAATTTTCTCCAATGAAAAAGAATAATAAAAAATTAGGAGACATGTATAAAATAATAGGTTGTATATATATTTTGGGTAATGTGTTTTTTTAAAAGGTTGGCAGTAAGGGTTAGAAGATCTAATTCTGTAAATATGTTATATACCTAGTATATATGAGTGATATTGTTTTGTAATATATACAAATTTTGAAAAAGTGGATACATATGGGTAGAAAATATAACAGAGGAACTTTATCATCATATCTAACAAATGAACCCAAACCACTGCATCACATGGGATAGTAAAATACACATATATGTAAAAAATATGTATCTTGTATCAAAAAAATCATAATGCAATTATTGGAAAAGTATATAACCAAAAAATCCCCCTAAAAATAATATCATCCCTAAAGATAACCAGCCAATTAACATGTCAAACCCATACTTTAGCTTGCCAAAATGCCACAAAGTCAAATATCACACAGAGCACTAGATGCTGACAGTCTCTATCTCCTAAAAACTACTTTGCAATGCAAGGCAATGCATGGAGGCCATGACATCCACAAGACAGTGCCACTTGCCTCAATCACTGGGGGCTAATACCAAGGGGGTCAATTGGTTCATCCATGAGGGTTCCTCTTGGCAAGTTACCAACCAGGTCCACAGCCCATCTCTAACTCATCATGATAGATCTGATCAATCTGCCCAAGATACAATTTCAAGGGTCATTCTACAGGCCTCCTCCACCTAAAGTTGTCTCTAGAGGAGACAACCTGGTCTCTGTATAGCCCGAGTCAGCAGTGCCGGATAGGGCAAGTAACAGGTCCTTCACTGGTCTTAGTGTAACTGCTGGTTGGACATGGTTCTGCGAACTGTATCCCATGATCCGGTGCTGAATACTTTGTTAATTGTTTTTTCACTTATGCATTTATTTTTCCAGCTTGCTGCCCCCTAATTACACTTTAGGATGCAAACAGAATATGAAATAGTGAAAAAATATCTAATCTCTACACTATTTTGATTTCTTTTCAGCTCCCTTACTTTACATAAACAGGATAACTTTGGTATCATAATCCAGTTTTATAACTTGAAATGCCTGCATAAAATTATAACCATGTCCCTCTACAGAGTGTATGAAAGATATTAATTTTTTCTCCCATGAAAAAGGTGAAAAAGAAACATGCATAAAATCAGAGGTTGTATCTCTAACTCCTTATGACAGATCTGATCAATCTGCCCAAGCTACAATTTCTAAGACAGTGTACCCACCTTTTCCATTTTATGGCCCCCGAACAATATATAATAATCTCCATAGCCCTGTTCAGTGACTGTCATCTTTTTGGATTCAGGTATTACTAGTTATAATAGTGTAATGGTGTCAGTAGCTAAAGGACAAGAAAACTTTATGGAAAGATTCCAATTTATTAATTATATGTAGGTACTGCAGGTCAGATAAAATTCAGTTTAATTCATAATTTTCATATTGCTCCATGACCCCCGATAAAGTACCTGGGGGCCATGGTCCACAGGTTGGGAACCCCTATTCTAAGAGTCAGAAATGCCGGATAGTGCAAGTAACAGATCCTACATTGGTTTAAGTGTAACTAATGGTTGGATATATGGTCCTGCCAACTATACTCCATGATCTGTTCCAAAGACCTGTTGCAAAAGGCACCAAAATGCAACTCCAAGGCATGAAAGATCATCCAAGTTTTGCTTCCATAAACCAAGAATGGCAATATCAAGGCCTTGAAGACATAACTTTGTACTTCTGCACAGGTAACAGCATCTTCAATATTCTTGTCCAACATATTCATGACACATGTTGCCAAGTTAAGTCATCTGCTGACTTCTTGGTCTGACAGCCCAGAGCTATGATACCAAGACATGTAAAGCTCTGCCTGACATCAATATTCTCACTGCAATCATATACCATCCTGGATCTTGATATTGGTCTTAGTCCATGAGACCTCTAGACCTAAGGATTTTGCCTCATTGCTAAAACCATCAAAAGCTGCCACCAGGTTTTCCAGAGACATATTGGATGGCAATCTCGTCAACAAGTTAGTTGCCTTATATTACCAGAGTTGCTCAATACTGACTTTGATCTACCAAGTATTTAGTCCTTGCAACATTGAAAAGCAGTGTTGCAAGCCGTACCACACTTTATGGCACTTTCAGTACCAGTATACAAACTTCTAATAAATCCAATAATCTTCGTCAACTCCCATGAGTCTCAAGATCTTTCAGTGATTCTTGATCCATTGAGTCAAATGTCTTGTTGAAGCCAATACAGGCTACTACCATACCACAATAGCCCTTTACTAATGACTCAAAGGGAAGGATGTGATCTACTATGGACCTGCTGCACACCAATGGCTTTCAGTGTCTCCTGTGATACAAAATTCTACCTTTCTATTGTATGGTTACCAACATGCTCCTGAGCTACATCAAGCATTTTATATTTGATGGCATCCCAGTGTTATAGGGTCCATCAGGTTTTGAAATGTCTAAGAGATAATCCAGGCAAACTTCTATGTACACTCTCCCTCCCTCAATATGTAAGAGTGACACACCCTAGGTGGATGCTGGTGAACCTGAAGGGTAGTCACAAGCAAACTATGGTCAGTACCATAGAACACAGCATACTGCTAAACCCTACAATTCTGAAGGATCCTCCAACCAGTTCTACCAAGGATGTGATTCATTTCCTTGATCAAGTTCCCCATATCAAAATACCATACGTAACAATATGAGTTGGGTGCTGGTCCCTGGAGCCAGAAATCCTTAAACTTCGGGACCTGACAATGGCCTGGAGAGTGATGCTATTCTCCCTACTGGTTCAAGCTCCCAAGCCATGGGAGCCAACAGACAACTAATAGCCAGCTCCATCACAGCCACATACCACATTCAAGTTACATAGAAGTAAATAACTCTCATGGACAGCTGTTTGCTATGCCAATGAGTTTTGCAAAGAACATTTCTTTCACATTGAGATTACATATGTTGGTAAATATCATTATTCATCATAAGAGATATGAAGCAGAAGGTATGCTTCAGTTACAAAATCATTACATGCTTGCTGACTGGAGGAACATTAACTACTGAAGGCTTAAGTCTACTTGAGGTGACTCTGCCATGGCTACAGCCTGCCCAGGTACAACTACCCACTTCTCATGCTGTGCCAGGTTTTTCCCCCTCTAAGAGAACAACCACCTCAACTTTCAACTGCATCAGCTCAATCAAGAGCAATGGTAATTGATCATCCTAGGAACAGGTTTTTCAAGCGCCCATCTAGACAGCCCATATGAGGGTAGATCTTGAATAGTCACTCCTGCTGTGCTCAGAACTAATTGTCTTACTCGTTCAGACAACTTATCAGGAACAGCATGACAACAAGCTGCATCTGGAACCCTCCAATTGCCTCTAATTTATACACTACATAGGTTTATACCTACTCTGATGCATAGGAAACTTATTTGCAGCAGACAAACAATAAAATAATCTTTGATAACAACAACAATTAACTCACTAGTGACAGTCCATTTGGAAGCCGATAATCCCAGTTTCTGGGCGGTATCAAATTCGGCGTGCAGGCCAGGGATCCTGCTCCAATCTAGCGTTGCACTGGCGAGACAGCTGACAATGTTTATTTTTCTGGGTGTCACATATGTGACACCTGGCGCAAGTGAGTTAACTACCATTATCATATGGTTGCCTGCAACAATCAGAGTTTACAGACAAATGCTCATGTAATGTCACCTCATCCTGCTTGGCCACCTGCAAAGGTGGGCAAGAAGGACAAGATGAGCAATTTGCCCTTGCCACCAAAACACGAGGTTCCAAACAGTCAAAAAATATTATCCAACTTCTTGCATGAGAAGTTCCGAACTCAGCTTCAGGGTAGACACCACCTCTGTCACCCGCCCAGCATTGCCCCAAGCAGAGGAGGGTAAAAATCCAGTATCAGCCAGGCTGGGTAACACCACTTTCTTGTCATGTACTGGTAAATGACAAACATATCCACTTCATTTCATTGCTCTGAGACTAAGTCCAGAACACCCTCACACAACTAGAGTTCTTAATGTCACCTTTTCTATATACCAAAACAAAGTGATAATAATGAATATTTATTCCCTTGTCTAGGGAAGCTAGGAAAGGTTAGGTTTGGATTTATGGTTTCTCATAATACCCTGGATTTGGGACTGTCTCTGCAGGGTGCGTTGCTCTCTGTAACAAATACCTTTCAGTTTCCCACAACCATCTATTAGAAGGTAAATTTTGCTTATAATGGACTGAATGACCGAAAATATGACATACATATAAATCAAATGTCAACTAATAAACAATAAAAAAGATGATTAACACTAAAAAGTATATAAAAAGGCTATTCTTACCTTCTGTCTTGGTTTGGGAGGCATTCTGACCGGTAAATTTCACTTCCAGGGATGTACTGTTGCTGCTTATCCTTTCAGCTACGTAAATACGAGTCCGTTTGTATATGAATTACATGTTTAGAATTTGCACGTGTGTTTGTTTACATCATACCGAGTCACGAATACATCTTTGAAATCTATGACACTTCTTTCCATCTCTTTCAAGACAAAATTACCACGTCCATAAACAATATTAAATGGTTTCAATTATTAAATGTGAAAATAAAAAACAATGCAAGTATTTTCAGTACCATTTAGAAAATTAAAGATGTACTCCCTGAGGTATGACGACACAGGTAAACACCGGACACGACCCTTCCTTGCTGGGATGAGGAACTCGTCTCTCTTTAGATAGGTAATATTGGCGATATATCTGCGTGAGATGGCTATATAAAGGGTTATGATAAAAGATGATAAAGTTTATAGCAGGTCTGGTGTGTTTGTAAAGCGTGACATACATTTTTTTTGCATTTGGTACTTAATTATATGGGTCGGAATATGACACAATTAACATGTATTTAATTTGACAGCTGGTTAATTTATTATTCGTTTTAGTATAGATAAACGGAAATTGAAAACGATATAATCACTGTTGAACAGGTGTGATGTTATACATCATAATAAACCTATTGTTAATTCAGAATTATTGCGTAATCATGACTTGGAAAAAATATCAGTAAGAGATATTCAAGCAACAAGCTATTTTGGAGTAAGTAAGGTCGAATGTATTGCATATTCATTAAAATATTGTTTTGCAGAGTAATTGTCTTTGAACAAGATTCACTGGAGTGATAATATGGATGATGTTGAAGATTGATCAAACAGTAATGATCCAATGTAGAACCTTTACATATTGTATATTTTTGACTTGGTAACATTGTATTCCATATTAGAGATGGTAGCAGTGTAGATATGATGACAATATCAGTAAAGTAATAAATGGTTTGTAAAGCATTTTAGCATGTTATTTGAATGATTATTTACTTATTGAATGTGATAAACTGTGATATCACATCATTTAGGCCCTAGTGACACTTTCCAAATGAATATTTTTTTTTTTTCTGATTTGTGCTCAGCATCTCTTCATTGAATGGAATGATTAAATGGAATAGTTGCATTTTTTAAAATCTGATTTCAGACTCAAGCAATCTAGTTGGAAGAAGTGATTATTAGATTAGTTGTTTTAGTATATTTGCAATGAAATTATGTTCTTTATTAGATTGTTTTTTCTTTCCTTATGAATTAGCAATCAAGGAGATTTGCTTGATATATAATTAATGAAGGATTTTCCTAATAGAATTGTATCTTTTACAGGCTCCATTTTAAAGCTACAAGATGAGCAGTAAAATTTTGAACTTCAATGTAGGTGTGCTGGGACATGTCGACAGTGGCAAAACATCCCTAGCCAAAGCCCTTAGTACAGTAGCCAGCACTGCCTGCTTCGACAAGAACCCACAATCGAAGGAGAGAGGAATTACCATTGATCTTGGATTCAGCTCATTTCTCGTTGATCCCTCAGACGGCATTAGAGATGCTGGCTATGAAAAGACTCAGTTCACATTGGTTGACTGTCCGGGTCATGCATCACTCATCAGGACCATTATTGGTGGGGCACAGATTATTGATGCAATGATGTTGGTTGTGGATGTCACAAAAGGCATGCAGACTCAAACAGCAGAATGCCTTGTTATTGGTGAGATTTTGTGCGATCACTTGCTTGTTGTATTAAATAAAGTAGATTTATTACCTGCAGAAAAACAGAAGGCTGGCATTGAGAAGATGACAAAGAAAATCTTGCTTACTCTGCAGCAGACTAAATTTGCCAATGCTAAAGTGATCGCAGTAGCAGCAAAGCCTGGTGGTCCAGAAGCACCAGATGTAGAACCAGTTGGTGTTAAGGAACTTATTGAATCACTAACAGCATTTTCATATGTTCCAAAGAGAGATGCAATTGGACCTTTTATTTTTGCAGTAGACCACTGCTTTAGCATAAGAGGCCAAGGAACAGTCCTCACCGGTACAGTACTTCAAGGTGCAGTTGCCATAAATGATAATATTGAAATTCCTAGTCTCAAGATTACTAAAAAGGTTAAATCAATGCAGATGTTCAGAAAACCTGTTGAGAAAGCAATACAAGGAGACAGAGTTGGAATATGTGTGACGCAGTTTGACCCAAAACAGCTAGAAAGAGGGGTAGTTGGTACACCAGGGCTCATTCAAACTGCATATGGTGTTCTTGCTGAAGTAGAAAAGATTAATTATTATAAACTTTCCATTGAGACAAAAGCTAAGTTTCACATTAGTATTGGTCATGAGACAGTTTTAGCTAAAGTTTCTTTCTTTGGAACTGAAGATAAACTTGAAACAAAAGATGGATTTTTGTATGATGTTAATTATAAACATCAGAGTGAGTTAATCCCTGTAAAATCTCTTGATCAGGAAGCCACTTACAGACCGCAGCATCAGTTTGCTGTCATAGAATTTGAGAGGCCAATTCAGATAACACCAAATTCAATGCTAATTGGTTCTAAACTGGATTTGGATGTCAACACAAAATTGTGTCGGCTTGCTTTCAAAGGGAAACCCCTGGAAATCTTCACTGACAAGAACTATCATGACACCCAACTTGAAAAAGTAAAAGTATACAAAAATAAAAGCAAAGAAGGAATTGTAGAGAGAATGACAAATGAGTATGAAGTCATTGTCAAAAATCTATTAAAGAAAGACACAAATAGCCAGCTATTCATTGGACTTAAGGTAAAGTTCTCGACTGGAGAAGATGGTTTGATTGAAGGGACTTTTGGACAAGGTGGTAAGATAAAGGTCAGAGTGACTGAGGGTTTGCAAGATAAAACTAAAGATGCATTAAAAAAACTGTCAGGTGGAAAGAAAAAAGGAAAAGGGGCCCAAGAAAACCAGAATCCAAGTGAAAATGTAGAACCAGTGAGAGTTGTTCTTAATTTTAAAAAGTATATGTATAGTAATACAAAGAAGATTGTTCAGACGTGAAATTTGTTTCTAGTGCAGCACAGTATATTTGTATATATTTGTCAGCTATAATAACCACCTGTCTTGACCTTTCCACAAAGAGGTAATAGTTCCTCACATGGTGCAAGCTGTCAGAGATGTACATTTGAATAATTTTGGAGTGATTACTTGGAAGATGTAATTTTTATTTATTTAAAAAAAAAAGATTTTCTGTGAATTTTTATGGTGTGTTGATTATATTTTATACTTTTTATAATGAGTATATAAGTGGTAGACATTCTTAACAATTACCAATATTTTGATTTACCAGTTACTTTAACCTTTTTGTACCCTGGAAATTATTTAGGTACTCCACTAAGATAAAACAAAACAATAGGTGTCACAGTCCACTTATTTCAGGAAAAAAATGATAGATGTTCGAGTTATTAATTGTTTAATTAAAAAGTGGTTTACACCCTATTTAAACTTTGTTAGTTTTTTGCATGTTGCATATTTCCATAAGGAGTAGATGGTTGAATTGAGCCCCTGTCCCTACTGCCAAGGATCAGATGTATAATGTCAGATTTTGTACTGTGGTCGTTTATTAAATGGCTTATAGTTTGCATTGACTGTTTTTTTTATCAACCTTGGCATTTCCTTCTTGAAATTGTTTTAGTTTATTGCTATTTTCTAGTCTTGTCTAATACTTGTCTGTGTCTTCTAAAGTAGGCTTGCTTATGTGATGTTGTATAGATTTAATGAAGATTAGGTGTTTCATATGTGATAGTTTTCTTGCATATTTGTGACTTGCAAGAGTGATATTGTAGTGAGATGGTATGTTTTGGTAGTGTTTTGTTTGGTCTGCTTGTAAGGCTTATTACAATATATGAATTAGCTTTAATAATTTCTTAGGATGATGACCGAAGAAATGGTTGCAGACATTTTAGATAATGCTATTGAAATCATCACACTCACTGTTGATTTTAGGAAATGGCTTTTGTCTTTCTTTATTGTTAGTTGAAAAAGTAAAATGTTTTATAAATAATTTTCTTTTAAAGAAATAGGATAAGTGCTATGACATAATGGTTGTTATTTTGAGTTGTGACTACTTTCGTTGCTCATATTATGTTTTATGTTATTGTGATGTAGTTGTAGTTTCCAGATGCTAGAGAGTTTTAAAGTCTTGCTCTCAATTCTTTCTGAACTCTATTTGAACTTCTTGTCTTGTTTGTCCAGGCTACTTGTCAGGACTAGCAGGACCATGGGGCTGCATTCAGAATCTCTGAGGGCTTCATGCCCACAATGCAACCAGCTCAAAAATAAATGTTCATTATTTTATCATACCAGTATCTTTATTTTATATGCTGCATAGGTTTTGTAACTCATGTTGCACAGGTAACTTACCTGCAACTGACAAACCCAAAAATATCCTTATATAACAAGAATAAAGGGCCATAAAAGTACCTACCAGTATCTAAAGTACAAATATTACTGTGACATCATCTTGTCCTGCTTGCCCAATTGTGAAAGAGGGCGAGATGGATGAGGTGAACAACTTGTCCTGGATGCCAAAGTAGGGATTCCAAACAATTAAAACGTCATGTCCATCTTGTCCAACTTGTTCAATGAGTAGTTCTGAACGCAGCTTTGTCATTAGTTTGCTTGCATTTTATTTTTGTTGTTCATTTAGCTTCTCCCATTGACCTGTCCTGTATTCTGATAACTCCATGTTGGAATACTTAATCTTAATCTACAGTCTTAATCAGGCAAGTGCTGTTGTAAGTGGTATGTTGATAATATTATATATTGTGATAACACAAAGTATCATATAGTACAAATTTCAGATTTTCCTTTATTTGGTATAACATAAATTCCATCTATATATATTGCATTTCTTTCATTATATAGAGTTTAGTTTCATTTGAATCTAAGAAGGTTTCAAAGAAAAGTTGTTTATTTCCATATTCAGAGTAAGAATTGTAGTAAAATAAGGTTGTAAAATCATTATAGTTTCTTTTGTGGCACAATGATTTGAATTTCAGTTTTTGTTTCCACCAAACAGCTTATCCTGTCTACAAAAATTACTTGAATTATGGCCTTCAAGTCCCCAAAAATAGAAAAATCAGACTGACTTTAGCAGCAACTTATGTGGCTTCATTACTATCATTACAGCCAAGACTTGATCTAGGGTAATTTATTTGTGCTGAAATGAAAGAACCACCAAACTAATGCAGTAACTGATTTCTGATAATGTGCAACATACTCTTGAATGCTCTGGGTATTTAAGATCATTTGAGGCAATGATCAGGGTAAGACCTTCAGAGAAATACCAATACACTAGTAGCTGGTAAATATGATTTTACTGTATATATCTGCATTTGCTGTAGAGAGATATGATGACCATACAAGACCAAACAGGTCTGTGAATAAACTGTCATGTGGTCTTCTAACTGTTGAACAAAGTTTTGAAGCAGAATGGCTGTTAAAACAATAATGGACAAAGATATGAAACAGTAAAAAAACAAAAAAGACAACTGATAGTTATTTTTTGTCACTACACAAGCAATGTAACTCTCCCCCTTTCCTTTTTCTGTGTCAATATGATATATAATTATTATTGTCCACATAAAGTGTCTGTTCTCTTTGAATATGGTTTGCATGTAAATGTGTAAGAATCAGATCAAAATGCACATAAGAACTGACTTTTTAAATAGAATAGAAACAAATTGTTTTGTTCATTCCTACTTCTCTCATTTGTACTATATTAAAGCAATCGGTTTCTGGTGTATAATTATTATTTTAGCCTTTAATCTTTCATTTCTGTAAAAAAATATGTGATATATGACTTTATATTATCTTGTGCAAACCTTTAAAATTGTTTCACATTATATAATCCTAAATAAAGAGAACTAAAAACAGTGTTATACATTCATCAGTCTTAACTTGAATGCTAAATCTGTTGTTAAATGTTGATAAATCATAAATGTTCATAAGTGAATTGATCTTTTCTTTTTGAGAATTCTATGCAATAAATCAATGTCAATTTTAAATATGGGTTAAGTTGCTTTTATAGATTTGTCAGGACTTACAACAAGACCATTCTATATCAGGAAAAGGATCCAAAAGCATCTAGATAATCAACATATTTGATATTCCTTCTTGTAGAAACTAAATACTATGAAATACCTTTTAAGATAACTACAAGTCAGAAATACTTATTCAACTGTTGAGTCAGAATTATTTGTACAACTGTTGCTTTTGAGAATGAAGACAGAATGAATATGAAATGAATGTTTTCCTTTAATCCCCCCCCCCAAAAAAAAAAAAAAATGTTCTGCTTCTTCAGTAGGCCACTTATATCTTCACCATTTCCCTTCCATGATATGAAAGCTTATTTAAACTTACACACTTCCCTGCTTAAAGTTTAACTAGCAGTTATTATCATAACAAGAGCTACAACAATAATAATAATGATAAATATTATAATCATTATTATTTTCATTGACTGGGTACAGTTAATGAAAATCTGATTCCCATCTCTGGTTTATTACATATGCTGAACAAGATTTCTGATTTCTAATCCAACAAAAGGGTAAGGAAAATTAGGAAATATTTTAATAACTTTTACTTAAGTGTACCTTTTTACATATTACAGTAATATTTCAAGAGTAATATATTTAATCTGTGATAATTTGAAGAGGAAAATGATAACTGCATTACCCTTAAGAAGAATATTACTTGCAACTTCCCTTTTTCTACAGCAAGAACGGTCAGAGATCAAAGCCATAATACCCACTGATGATACTGAAGAAAAGATGGTATCTGTGCAGTTAAATATAATCAGATACCAAAATAATTGAAAATGAGGAACCCAAGTGGTATTTTCTTTTTTTCTTATTTTTCATGGTCATGCAATTAATACAAATAAATTAACTTGCACTAACATCTTTCATCCTGTCGCTCTGTTTCTTGATTTAATAGATATAAATATGGTTGTTTCTTCATTCCCAAATATTACACCAGCACTTACCTGAATGCATACACAGGGAAGAATGATTCACTGGAAAGATAACCCATACAAGGGAGACTAGCATGGAACCGAGCCCCTACATTTTTTAATCATCATAACAGGTATTATGGCTTGTCTAATCAACTGCGCTCAGGGTATATATCCATCTTAACCTATCTTAATGACAATTATCGCACATTCACTTGCAAATAAAGCATCATAGTGTGAATAACTATATAACTATTCTCCTAAACAGTATAAAATTCTCATAGGATTTTCATAACATCACTGGGGCTTAAATACAGTATTATATTGTTTAATGTTTGTTTATAATACAAACTGCAAAACAACAGAAGTATCTCCATATAAAATAAATATAATTCCTAATATAAAACAATAACTGTGCCGTGCAGACAACTCCACTTCCTCTCCGAGCATTATAAATCACCTCCAAATATCGTATATGAGAAAGACTGGCAACCAAAGTCTTCTTTTCAGGAAATGTCATTACCAAGTTTGGAAAGCTGAAACATAAGGAATGTATATTAGACATAAACTTTATAAATGATAAAAAGAAGTAACACCTTTATTTTTACTTTAGCAATACATATTAGAAGAATAGATGAAAATTTCACAAACTGAGTGTGGTAAAAGATAACTTATTTTGCAATATATGAAGTATTGCCATTTGGTTTAGTTGGAAATGAAGTTCATGTGTAATAGCAAATTTAACAGAAAAGGAAAGAAAACTAATGTTACTTACCTGATTAAGAAATTGTTCAGCATTGACAACATCAGTGCAGCCATAGATAATTTTTTTGTTTGTAGCACCAGCTTTCTTCTTGGCATAATTAACAAGGTTATTGTACTCCATGTAGTTGCCACCACCCACAACAAACACAACTGACTCCTGTAAAGCGAAAATGGATTTAATGACATCTGGCATGTATGTCCATGCCATAGCATGAGTGGACTCCTCTCTGGGTGGCAGGTACACCTAAAAAGTTGTTCCCTTGTTCAACTATTCCTGTAGTAATTTAGGAGCTATTTTGGATCTTGTTCAATGGACAATTGTATATGCTACAGCCAAACCCACAGAAGGTGTAAAAATCATATGTTTCCCATTCTTCTGATATTTCCTTCAAGTAGCTGACTGTGTGCAGTGTCCGGCATGCAGTCAAAATTGGAGTGTGAAGCTCCCATCAGCAATGGGTTAAGGAATCTGTCAACCTAACCTTTATCTCTATCTCTATCTACATCTACATTAATTTCTACACCTATCTACATTATCCACTCAATTCCACAAACCTGGAATGGCGTTCTTGTTCGAGCTCCAGCCACGCTGCCATCTCCTGGTCGTAACATCTTGGGGTCAAAGTACTTGTACTCTTTCTCTTCTTCACTGTTTTTCAACTCCATCAAATGGTCTACAATTCTGGTAATTGGCAATTTCTGGAAGGAGTCGTGAAACACATTTTTGTTATATTAACATATGGAAAAAACTTTCAACATTATGTACACCTTAGAACATGATGAGAAACTAGGAACATTCTTTATTCTACACTACCAACAACACCCTTACTTTAAAATCAGTAAAATATGTTGGCAATTTCAA